GTACTTCTTTCATTTATTTATCTATTTTTGATCAGGGGTCTGAACTCTGGGCCTGGGCACTGTCCCTCAGCTCTTCAGCTCAAGACTAGTGCTCTACCACTTGAGCCACAGCACCACTTCTGGGTTTTTCTGCTTATGTGGTGTTAAGAAATCAAACCCAAAGCCTCATGCATGCAAGGCTAACGCTCTACCACTGAACCACTTTTCCAGCTTTCACATCTGTATTTCTTAGTAGAATAGGTATCATAGCACTTTTAGAAGAATAGTTTGTATTCATTCCTTGTGTCAACCATAAATTCCACAGAAAAAAGTTTAAATGCTTACATGAAATTCCTAAAAACAGATTATATGGGACATGACATAGAAGCTAAAACTTGATATAGTTTATGAATAGAGCTTAATTTATTAGTATATATATTTTAAAAGTACTTAATCAAACAAATGCTAACATTATATCCAACTAAAAATAAAGCTGGGATGGGTGCCTATATGCCTGGGTGCCTATAATCCTAGCTACTCAGGAGGCTGAGATCTGAGGATCAAAGGCAGCTCAGGCAAAAAAAAAAAGTCCTCATGAGTCTCCAGTTAACTACTGAAAACCATAAGTGGTGCTGTAGCTCAAGTGGTTGAGCACTAGCCTTGAGCACCAGAAGGCTCAGGGACAACACCCAGGCCCTGAGTTCAAGCCCCACAACTGACAATATATGTAGCTGGAAATGTATAGAAATTGTAGAAAAAATTACTAATTCTATAAAGTTTCTCTTAGAAAGACAAAGTTTCTCATACCTGTATTCCCATGTACTTAGGAGGCAGAAATCTGGAAGATGACAATTTGAAGACAGCCCAGGCAAACTCTAGAGAGACATCATTTCAGTCAATGAACTAGGAATGGTGTCACATGCCTGTGATGGCAACTATGTGGGAAGTATAAATAGGAGATTCACAGTCTAGGGAAAGCAAGAGTATAAACACATTTTGTTTCAGTATCTTACTGTTTTCATTATTATGACTCTGTTGTATTGTTTGATGTCTAAACCTTCATTAACTAGTTTTATTGCTTGGGCTGTTCTATTCAGGAAGTCACACTTCTAAATATTACAACAGTTTCAATGGTGAAACTACAGCAATTACCAACTAAAGAAAAATAACTAAAGTATTGTTAATAAATTTTAATGAAGCTAAAATTAAATGGAAATCTATTTAACTTTGTATTAAAATTGCAACTTATTGTCTAATTTATGCAACACTATGTGGAATGTATAAATTTACACATAGTTGAAATGCTCACTAAACAATTTATAGAATTAAACCTACATGGTGGACCAGTGAAATAGCTCTTAGAAAGCTATAAAGGTATGAGTAGTACCTTGATTTTTTTCCCTGAATACCAAGACAAAGAAAATGTACAGCCAGGTGTCCAAGACTCATGCCTGCAATCCTAGTTCTCAGGAGACTGAGGGCTGCAGTATCACAATTGAAATCCTGTCCAGAAAGGAAAATCCACAAAATTTCATCTCTAGTTAATGAGCTGAAAGGTGGACAGGCTCAAAAAGTACAGTGCCAATCAAACAAATGTGTACCATAAATTCTAAAAAGTGAATTAGAGTGTATAATGAAAGCCTTCATACATAAACATGCTTCTATTTTAAAAATAAAAGAATTATGTTTCAATAATTATTTTAAAAGGAACTGTCTGTATCGAGTATGAAACAATCTTATCTTTTCCTAACATACTTTTATATATTTATCTTGGAGAAATAGGAATAATTTACATAAATGTGTATATTTACCCATATTTAAAAATTTTAAAACATACCCAGTCCACTAAAAGAACATCAATTCAATGACAAAAGTTCCAAGAATAAAATGGTTCCAAGTATCTTGGAAAGTGATAACTTGAATGTGAAATCCATCTGTAGTATTACTTGAAAAACCAAAGAATTTCAACAAAAATGTTTATTAATATGAGTGGATGTCTCAATCATATTGGTGGTTGCAATTTTCTTTCCTATATTTCTTTTCTTAGTACTGGGGTTTGAACTCAGGGCACTTGCATGCATAGTGCTCTATCATTTGCACCACACCTCCAGCCTTCCTTTATCTTAGTTATTTTGGAGATGGGAAACTGATGGAGTTTGCAGCCCAGGTTGGATTCATTCTTAGGTTTGTCAGCTTTTAATCTCCCGAGTAGCTAGGATTACAGGCATGAGCCACCAGAGCCTGGCATAATAGTGGCCATTAAAAAAATATATTTAGTTTGAATTTTCAGCCAAACAGAATTTTTTGAATAGGAATAGAATATACCAAAGTTTGATAGTAACAAAATAAACTTATGCAAATTGTCATTGCTGATACATATGTGGATATGTACATATATAAAGATTTATATATTTATGTATAAATGATATCTCCATATTGATAGACATATAAATTATAACACATATATATTTTGTTTTCTTGTGATTTAAAAAATTTCTCTATTTTATATTTTATGAGTAACCTTTTAATCTTTTGTTTCAGGGCTCAAAATATTTTTCTTCTTTTAGGTTAGACCCTATAAACGTCATACCTAGTCATTTAGTGGTTGCTTTAGTAATTTCATTTATTTATTTATTTATTTTGCCATTCTTGGGCTTGAACTCAGCCTGTGTGCTATCCCTGGGCATCTTTGTGCTAAGGTTACTACTCTATCACTTAAACCACAGCACCAGTTCCAGATTTTTCTAAATAGTTTATTGGAGATAAGAGTCTCACAGACTTTCCCGCCCACAGTTTGAAGGGCTGCCTTCAAATTGTGATTCTCAGATCTCAGCCTCCAGAGTAGCTAGCATAGCAATCATGATTCACCAGTGCCCATTTAATAATTTTGTTCAGGGAGGTACTGGGACTTGAACTCAGAGCCTTCTATTCTGCTAGCATTATTGTCCATTGCTGGTGTTCTACCACTTGTGTCATTTATCCGGTCTCAGATTTTTGTTGGTTAATTTGAGATGAGTCTCTTGGATTTCTCTACTCCAGTTGACTTCAAACCCCAAGGCTCAAATCTCATTTACCTGAGCAGCAAGGGTTATAGTTGTGATCACTTGTACTCTATTTCCTTTATATCTTTGAATGCCTTTAACTGTAAGCAATTATATTATTCACAAGTTTTTCTCCTTAGTTCCCCAATCCAATAAAGGCCCTCTTATTATTTTATGAAACATTGTTCCAGTCTTTTTTGTCTTATTTTATGCAAACTGAATTAAGCATTATTAATATTATGTTGCAGAAAGATTTTAACTGTGCTTTCTGAAGTGCTCAATAACGTACAGCTACAGATTTCATTTGTCTGCAAGTGAATGATCTTCCTGACAAACAAAAATATTCTCCATGTACACATACTTCTAAAGAGTGAGATATTGTTTATATTTTGCTAAAAAAATAATGGTAGCAATTGACCAGGTCAGTTTATATCAACCGTTGCCAGGGCACCCCATTTGGAATCACATACAGTCAAATTTTCTGAGAAAAAGAGCCAAACTTCAGGCCAGTCAAGCATGAGGAAAGTCATTCTGCAAAAGGCCATTTGGAAATGTAAAACATCATTTGCAGTCTATACAAAATTATCAACATAGGCAGACTGCCAGGGGCATTCTGTGAGATGCATGGAGAAACATACATATCTCTCTGGTCATGTACCAAATGATCTCATGGACCAGAATTCCCTACTTGGGGAAGGATTCCAATATTATGTTTCAGAATCAAGGTAAGGAAAACTACCAGTAATCAACCGTAATCAACAAAATTTAATAAATCATGAAGACATTCCTTAATTTGAGAACTTGATATTCCTCATTAATAGAAGGATGCATAATCCCATCCAGGCATTTGTGTTTCATGTCACCAATAATCCTAGATAATTAGGAGGGTGAGATCTGAGGATTGATGTTCAGAGACAGCTTGTGCAGGAAAATCCATGAAACTCTTATATCCAATTCACCAGTGAAAAGCCAGAAGTTGATCTGTGGTTCAATTGGTAGAGTGTCATCCTTGAGTGAAAAAAATTCTCAGTCCCTGAATTCAAAGCACGATAATGACACAAAAAAAAGAAAGGAAAAATTAAAGGAAAAAGGAAAACGTACAATTCCTAGTTGCAATGGCTGCTTTAAAAAGAATAACCCAACCAGGGATTCTTTAACAACTAAATTTTATTTTCTGATGTCTCTGGAGGCTGACATGGGAGCCCAAAGTATAAGCAGGTTTAGATTCTTCATGGCCTCTCTCCTCTGGCTTGTAAGTGGCCAAATTCTCACTTGTCTCTTCACATGGTTTGGTCTCTGTCTCTGTTTTAATTTCCTCTTTGTACAAGGACTTTACTGACACACAATTAATGCCTACATAAAATCCTTTTTTTTTTATCTCAACTAGCTCTAAAAACATTCTATCTCCAAATACAGCCCTACTATTTATATTTGGGGCTTAGGACTTAAATGTTTGAATCCAGGGAAGACAACATTCAGCCCACAACAGTGCACCTTAGAATGATTAAGTAGCTTGTTCGAAGTCAAAAAATACTATTCTAAGTTAGCAAAGCCAGGATTCTAACCATACTCTTCTTTCCCATAAAGTTTATGATGAACATTGGCTGCCAACTAGGGCTAATCATCGGTAGCATCCCATGGTAGGAGAGCTCTATAAGCTGAATTTTTCTTTGGCAGCAGGTGAGGTTGAGCCTCCTCGAGCTGGTGATGGAGATGGTGGCGGAGGTGACGCGGTGTGGTCTCGCGCTCCTTCCGGCACAAGCGAAGGGGCTGAAGATCCGAGGCCTCTACACCACAGGCCGCCTCCATCACCCAGAGATGGAGATGTAGAGCTGGGGACCACCACGCCTCCTCCCCCACCCCACCCCACCCTCCACCAGCAGCAACTCCATCTCCAGGAGATCGCTGCCCCTCCCCAGGTGCCGAACACCCTCAACCTGGCCCTAAGCCCAAGCTGCGGGGTACCGAAGTACCAGCAGGATGTCTTCCCACCACAGGGCTATGGCGACCCAGGGCAATGGGGCTTCTGCCAGGCACCAGGAGGCCGACTTGGTGGGACTAGCCACCCTGCGACCCTTGCTGGAAGAGAAAGCCAAGTGTGTCATGATCAACTCAACTCAAGCTGAAGAAAAGCAAGCGTACCCTGTGTCCCAGGAAGAAGAGGAGGAGATGCGGGTATTGCCTCTCCCTCTGCAGGCCCACCATGCTATGGAGAAGATGGAGGAGTTCGTGTACAAGGTGTGGGAGGGCAGCTGGCGGGTCATCCCGTATGACACGCTTCCTGATTGGCTGAAGGACAATGACTACCTGCTCCATGGCCACCGACCACCCATGCCCTCCTTTCGGGCTTGCTTCAAGAGCATCTTCCGCATCCACACGGAAACGGGCAACATCTGGACCCATCTCCTCGGGTTCCTGCTGTTTCTCTTTTTGGGCATCTTGACCATGCTCAGACCGAACGTCTACTTCATGGCCCCCCTGCAGGAGAAGGTGGTGTTCGGGGTGTTCTTTCTGGGTGCAGTGCTCTGCCTCAGCTTCTCTTGGCTCTTCCACACCGTCTGCTGTCATTCAGAGAAAGTCTCCCAGACGTTTTCCAAACTGGACTATTCCGGGATCGCTCTGCTAATTATGGGGAGTTTTGTCCCTTGGCTCTATTACTGCTTCTACTGCTCCCCAAAGGTGCGGCTGGTCTACCTCTGCACCGTCTGTGTGCTGGGCATTTCTTCCATCATCGTGGCACAGTGGGACAGGTTCGCCACTCCTAAGCACCGGAAGACCAGAGCAGGAGTGTTCCTGGGCCTGGGCTTGAGTGGTGTGGTGCCTACCATGCACTTCACCATCGTGGAGGGCATTGTCAAAGCTGTCACAGTGGGCCGGATGGGCTGGTTCTTGCTCATGGCTTTTATGTACATCACCGGAGCCTGCCTCTACGCTGCTCGGATTCCTGAGCGCTTCTTTCCAGGGAAATTTGACCTATGGTTCCAGTCTCATCAGATTTTCCACGTGCTGGTGGTGGTGGCTGCTCTGGTCCACTTCTACGTGGTCTCCAGCCTTCAGGAATTCCGTTATAGCCTAGCAGGTGGCTGTACTGATGATTCCCTGCTCTGAGCCTTTCCAGCTGAGGGGTGGAGGAGGAGCTTCCTAAGTGCTTTGAAAAAAAATAACTTCTTTGCTGAAGTGAGAGGAAGTCTGAGTTGTCTGTTTCTACATATTCATATCTATTTATCTATAGATATAGACACCTATATCTCTATCTATCTATCTATCTATCTATCTATCTATCTATCTATCTATCTATCTATCTGGCTGTCTATCCATCTATCTATCTATCTATCTATCTATCTATCTATCTATCTATCTATCTATCTATCTATCCATCTATCTAGCTAGCTATCTGTCTATCCATCCGTCCTCTTAGAGAATTGAGTTACCACTCAAGTTTCAGCTCATTGTTACAGACATTGGGCAATAAAATTTCCATTTCAGTTCTTCATTGGAGAGGGTGGGATGATCAACCACCACAAGGCAACTCTTGGTTCCTCACAAAGATGGGTCTTTGAAGCTCATGTTGAGATTTTACCCTTCTTCCAATCATTTTGGGGAAAACAAACAGATTGAAATTCTTCAGAATTTTTTTTCCAGAAGGAAATGTCTCTCCTTTACTTTCATCTGTGTACAGGTTACTGTGTAACTTTGACTCCCACCAGGCCAGCTATTTGTGTAGCATACTTTTCAAAAACAATTGTAACTCCATTTCATCTTTCAAGGTCCCAGAGCAGGAAGAATGAAGCCATCAATATTTATATAGCCCAGCTAATCATGGAAGTGTGGCCAAGCCTCATGTAATGAGTCTTAGTTTTGTTTTGTTTCTCTTGTCAGAGTAATGTAAAATTAAAATGGGGAAAGATATTCAGTTGGGGGGGGATGCTGATCCTAGGATTTGAACTCAGAGCCTAAGCATTGTACCTAAGCTTTTTTTGCTCAAGGCTTGAGCTTACCCACTTGAGCCATAGCACCACTGCTGGACGTTATTGGTAGTTAATTGGAGATAAGAGTCTCACACTTTTTTTTTTTTTTTTTGGCCTGGGCTGGTATTGAACCACAGTCCATGGATCTCAGCCTCCTGCATAACTAAGATTACAGGAATGAGCCACCAGCACCTGGCTGATATTCAACTTTTCTTCTTTTCTTTGTCAGTCCTGGGGCTTGCACTCAGGTCCTGGACTCTGCTTCCAAGCTCTTTTTACTCAGGCTTAGCGCTCTACCACTTTGAGACACAGTTCTACTTTCAGTTTTTTGGTGGCTAATTGGAAAAAAAGTGTCTCAAGGACTTTCGTGCCCTGGCTGGCTTTGAATAGCAACATTCAGATCTCAGCCTCCTGAGTAGGTAGGATTACAGGCATGAGCCACCAGCCCCCCGTTTGATACTCAACTTTCAATAGGAAGTTTTAAAAGAAAACTTGCTTTTATTGCTATGTATCTTGACGCAAAGACTATAAGGATAAAAGAAAGAACATAAGACATATTTTCTTTCTATCTTTATATACACAAAATTTTAGAATACTTTCTTTATGTATTTGAATTCTCAAGCAAAAAAAAAAAATCTGCTCTGTTTCCAGTGGCATAATAAATCACAACAAAATAATTATAAACATAAAGGCAAAAATATTTCCTAATGTTCATTTTCCAGAAAAGATTCCTGTGAGTGATTTTACTTTCATATATGTTGCACAAGTTTATACATATTTATGTAGCAAAACAGTGATAAATTTGTTTTGGAAAAACTAAATTTATCTGCAATCAAAATGGTTTTCTTTTATGGGCAACAAAGCATTGTTTTGATGCGTACTTATCTTGGTTGATCGAAAATTTACATTTACTTTCCTCAATCAGTAATATTTATATAGCCGTTTTTCATATGTCAACTCACTCATGCAAAAGCCTATCTATAAGTCAAGTCCAAACACAGGGTGTGAATATTCCCACAGACACCTGACATGCCTTCCAGGATGGAAAGGACTGGAAATTTACTGTAGCCCTCTGCTTTGATTTCTAAGGCTGTGGTCTTGGTCAGCACATTCTGTTTCATTGAGACAGTAGTGTTTACATGATCCCTGGTTCACTGCCACCCAATCCAGAAGAAAACAAATATAACAAGTTATCTTCACAAGGAGCTCCATTCCGGTTCTATTCATTGTGTTATTTCATTTACAAGTCTCACAAAGTAACATTATTCACACTTAAGATTGTTCAGAACAAATGATATTAGGAGTCATCAATTATATTTTTGTGTAACAGAAACTCATTTCCAAAATAAGCCTCTATAAAACATGAAAAGGCATAACATTACTATTTCAGACAACATCAAGATTCTGCAAAAATTGTACATGGGAGTGATAAGATGGACTAAGAAATGAGGAAATAGATCCAGCCCATAGCTCAGATGAAAGGTTAAGTTGGCAATTGCTTTTATTTTTGCAAGTATTTTTTTCTTTATCCATGAAAACAGCACAGACTTAGTCCTAATCAGTGAACTCTAGTACTACTTATACATTATATATGTCCAGTCTCTAAAGTATAAGCAGAAGCTCTTAAGTTCCAAAGTGATCATCACTTATGAGTTCGGGGGCTTCATAAAATAGGTATATGTTTTCTTTGTCTATATAGTCTAGAAGATTCCATAAATGGTTCTATACAGTTACCATTGTGTCCATAGGCTTAAAACAACCTAAGACATTTGAAAATGTTGCATAATTGCAATTCAACTTCTTGAGGAAAATGAACTAACAGTTTCCAGCATATGTAATAAATAATAAATGAGAAAGTAATGTAAACATTAGTTAAAAAGCTTATTACATGACTGAATACAATATACTCAATTGTACTTTCCTCTAAATATATTATGAATGGGCTGGGTAGAAGGTCTCATGACTATAACTCTAGCTACTCAGGAGGAGGATATCAAGAAGATCATAATTTGAATCCAGCTCAGGCAAAAGTTAGCAAGACCCCCATGTCAAGCAACAAAATATGAATAATTGTATACCTAGCTTGGAACAACTAGTCAAGATCTCTAAGAAGCACAGTTAAGAAGAGCTTATTCTGGGTCTGACCCTGGGTAAACACAGGAGACCCTATCTCAGGGAAAAATAATGACCTACCCCCCCCTAAAAAACGGCCAGAGATGAGGCTGAAGCGGTAGGTCATCTGCCTGGAATACAAGAGACCTGGAGTTCAAACCCAGTATGACTGAAAATATCTATGTATGTATGTATGTATCTATATATTTATGTATCTATGTATCTATCTATCTGTAAATATGAGTGTGTATATATATATATATATATATATATATATACTCTCTTTCACTTTTCTACTATTCTGATACATCTAGCACAATGTAAAAGCTATACATAGTTCTCATTCATATGTTTCCTAACACGACAATTGAAGACTCCCATAGAATAGTGGAGGTCTTCTAAATTCCTGAACAAATTTTAAACAAATTCTGGCAATCATGCACATTTTTGTGTTTCTTAATAAAAACATTATAGCAAAACATTCACTATGTATATTATATTTAATATCTTAACAAGTGAATGAAGGACCTATGGCAGTTCATTAACATGCACTTGTATTGCATGGTAGACTGGAGAGCTAGTATGTTCAGATATTTAATGTAGAATAAAGAGTCATGGTGAGAACTTCTTCTGTAGCTACCTGTTGACAGTGGGACCTATATACCCAGACTACATAGGACCTTCCATGGTCTGTGATGTATAAAGTGTCCCTTTACATGGTCAATGAAAAAAACCCACATTTATATGGCTGTCCATGATTTTTTGAACAGCCTCAGAAGATTTTATAAACATGCTTATGTGGTTATCATAGTGCCATAGCTACCCAAGACATTAGAACCTGTGGATGAGGAGAGTGAAATCTAGATGAGTCAATATCCACTGGCCTTCTGCCAAACCTAGGAGAGTGTCTGTGAGTAGAGCTGAGTTAATGTACACCCACATCACTGTTCCATGCCCCTTGGCTTCAGGGAAGCAGGGTGTGTGTTCTTGCTTAGAATACACATAACAATGGTAACGGAGATGAGAATAGGATACACTGAACAACAAGGATCTGTGGTATAACCTCATGCCTGACTGCTTCAGTTTAGCTTAAATCCAGTCAATTCAGTAGCTAAAGTAGAGAATGCTTAGTAACCTCTATCTGCTTTGCAGACATATAGCTAACATATGCCATGTGACCATAGCTAACAGACTCCATTCCACAGTACAAAAGAAGACTCTTCATCTTGACAACCTTTCAGAATAGTTTCCTGCACATTGTTCATTTGTTAAGTGCTTATCAAAGGACAGCTCAGAGGATAATGTATCCCTTTCCAAATGATGCATTAGTAGGTCAGGCAGGTAATAATAATTGCCAGTTTCACCAGAGATTGTGTTAGACAGTTCAACAAGTAGACACAAATTTATTATTCACTAGTTCAACATTGATTTTATTTTTACAAATAGTGCTTCACCAACCATTTCTGCATATTTTGTTAAATATTTCATCTGTTATATTGGAATTAAGGTGTACAGATACTCTCATAATTGTCACCACTAAAATTAGACTAAAATTCCTATTTTACATAATGTTCAATAAAGTAAATCATAAATTATAAGTTTTATAAGATTGTTTCATACATATTCATTATTGTTCCAGGAATCATATAAAGAAACATAGTAATAAAACTGACATTTGTGCATTAATATACTTATTTCTGTAATTGGATTAAGTTTGAAGTGGGCAACTGTTAAAGAAAAGCAGTAGAGAACCCATTGTCTTATAAAATTTAATCTTCAAGACAGTAATGCCAGCACTCAGCAGGCTGAATTAGGAGGATCATGAGTGCAAGGCTAAGGCTCCAGACATAGCTCAATGTATAGTATGTTGACTATGATTCCTTTGTATTGATACTGTCAAAACAACAGCAGAACTGTTCAATCATTTTTAGTATAATGTTTACTCTTTGATGAAGAAGTTAGAAAATTATGTCAAGGACCTATGAAATAGATTAAAAGAGTAACGTAGCTAGGTAGTTCATGCCTGTC